CCGCCAGGCAGAGATGCTCAGTGGGCACCTGGACCAAGGAATCTGAAGCTTGAGTCAGAGGTCAGTGCCGCCCGTGCAGATGTGGTGGTGTTTCAGGCAAGGCGAGAAAACAAAACTGAAACCATCGAGGAAGTGTGTGTAGGATGAGCAGAGCTGTGGCCATTGTTCTGGAGAACGTTGGAGGTGGGGGTGCAGAGGGAAGATCGGAAAAGGAGTCTGAAAGCAACAGGTTCAGGGATAGGAAAGCTGGGAGAGGGTGGATCTTAGCAACCAATGGAACAAAGCATTGTCAACAATGTTGCATGCAGGGGAGAGGCTGAATAAGATAAGGACCAAAATGTGGTTACTGGATATGGTAATACGGAAGTCACGTGAAAAACATGGTGCCACTCCCCTTCCTATGCCCCAACACAACCTTGGAATCTTTCTCAACTAAGTGCTTCCTAATTGTGGCCCCAGTCAATTAGTTGGAGTTGGCACGAGATTTGACACCTGCCTGACCTTCCTTGTTTGGTACAGGTGTGAGGGTTACGTCATGGGGAAGACAATCCACCTCTAGGACTGGAAAAAGGGACCAGGGCAGAGGAGGGAAGCCCTGGTGGGAAGTGAAGTAGACTGCGAGACGAAGGGAGAAAACAGAGGTAAGAACAGGTTTAGAGCAGATGCGGAGAGCTGGCCTGGGATCAGCAAAAGACTTGTGAGGACCCGGATGAGACTGGACAGGACAGTTTCATGGTAACGTCACGTCCTGCGTGGTGGGATTTCCTCCATCAGCCCATGACAAATTGAGGCTAGGAAAAGTGAATGGGGTTGATTACATAGGATTGATACACAGGATGTGCTGTTCCCAGTGACCCAGGATAGCTTATTCTTGGGGACCTTTGAGCCCTCAACTAGAACACAGATGGGTTTCACTGATGATATCTCTGGCTTCCTTTCCAAGTTTCCCAAAATGGTCCATGGTAACTGCTATTTAAGTCTCATTCCATTTGGATGCAAAAGCCCAAAGACTGAATCTCACCCATTGCTTGCTTTCCTCTGGCTGAACCCTCCAGGTGGCTGCTGCAGTGCCTCTGGAAGGTTAAGGATGAAGCAATGAAGGAATGATAAACAGTATGAGTTAGCTATCGTATTAACATTTCAAGTGGAGTTAATAGCTCTCAGTCAAGTGACCAGATAAATTACTTTTATAAGTAATTATAACTGTAATAAGTAATTAACACTAAATGAAGTAAGTGATGTTCAGTCTGGTGCCCAGAGCACTTTCTTCTCCCCTTTCTTCAAAACCTTCTGAAAACTCTCTTTTTGGCTTCCTCTTTCTGCACCCATTCTTATTTCCCCCTTTCAAACTTAGCGGGCCATAATATGAATTAAAACTACCTTTTAAATATTGTATTAGCGAGGTAGCCTTTGTTCCCAGGTTTAAAGCAGAAGAGTCCAAAGTTGTAAATAGCACACAAGCATAAAAATGGTCAGTTTCCCTTACCACATACTAAAGACAATAGTTTACTCTTAATAAGAGTCGGGAGAGGTGGGGAGAGGTCCCAGCTGCTGAGGGCCCAGGAGAGCATGTCCTTGGCTGTTGGCATCATAGGCCAGCACCTGAGGCAGGACTACGGGGCCCGACTACTTGGGTTTGAACCTGGCTCTGACACTTGCCAGGAAAGTGGCTTTAAGCAGGTTGTTTTATCTCTCTATGCCTCAATGTCCTCATCTGTAAAATGGGATGATCATAGTGCCTACTTCCTAAAGTGGGTACTGGATGAGCTGATGTATGTAAAGCTCTTACAGTAAGTAGTGTGTAGATGTGCTTTTTGAAATATTGTAATCCTTTTGGAGGACAGTTAAGCAATATGTATCTAAAGCCATTAAAATGTCATAATTTTTGACCCAGTTATTTCACTCCTGGGAATGAATCTCAAGGAAAGGAAAAAAAAAAGGTAACTATGGACAAGGGCTTTGAAATCATTTTATTTACAAAGCAAATCACAAAAAATAACCTAAAAGACCACCAAAAGGGTAATGGTTAAATATATACCTTATCAACAGGACAGAATAGTCTGTCCTGGTTAAGATGATCAACATTAACTATAAATTCATAGGGATGTGTACATCTATCAAAACGCATCAAATTGTACATCTGAAATATGTGTAGTTTACAGGAACCACACCACAATAAAGGTATTAAAAATAAAATAAATGCATAGGGAAGTGTTTATGGAGTACTGTTTGATTTAAAAAGTGATCACAGAATTGTATATCTTTTTTTTAAGGTTTTTGAGCAAGTGTAGTTGATTTACAATGTTAGTTTCAGGTGTACAGCAAAGTGATTCAGTTATACATACATATATACATATATATTTTTTCTTTTCAGATTCTTTTCTATTATATGTTATTACAAGAAGTTGAATATAGTTCCCTGCATTATACAGATGGTATATCTGTTTTGATAACTTTATAAACAATCAGCACAGATTGCCTGGCTTTCTGTGTTTGAGGATTAGAAAGGACTTCTTAAGAGGTACTTTCAGGTATTTTCAAGTAGGTTGATTACTAAACAAAACTTATGTTTAAATTAGGTGTCGAGCATGTATGCGGAAACCTTGCCTCACAAGTACTTGGTACTCATTCTCTTGCTGTGACTGCCAAGCCTGGGCACCACCACCCTGCCCTCATCTCCTGTGCCAACTGCCTACCTGCCACATGAGGCACTGACTCCTGCCACCCATTTCTCAGACGAAAGTGTCTTAAGGGCACCTCAGAATCTGGCAGCACAGTGTCTGGCACATGGTAGGCATTTAAGAAATGTTTGTTGAAGTATATATGTGTGTGTGTGTTCGTGTGTGTGTGTGCATGTAAAACACATATAGTACTTGAATTTGTTCTCCCCTCTTGATCAGGGATCTCATTAGGGGAAAAAAAAGAGAGACAAGGTAGGGATTCTCCTTACTGCCAGAAACAGTTTAGGACGGTAAATACTTTGCTTTTGTTATTGTTTTGAAATCCTGAGGCCTCCTCCAAAGGCTAATCAAATGTTCTAGTGACAAAACACCTTCCAATTAACAAGTGTGTGCGGCACCGCCCTGAGAACACCAGCTTTATGGGGACACAATATTAATGCACATCAGACAATTAGAGGACGGCACAGATATGTAACCGGTGCCAAAATGCACACAGAAAGGACAATGTTTGCTGCTTTGGTCTAATTAAAAATCCCCCTGGAATAAGTTTAAAGATTTCCCTCTCAATCTATAATATCCTTTTATTTCTAAGGAATTTTAAGTCCCTCTTCAAGTCTGTATCAAAGTGGTTACAGCGAGATGGAAAGAACCTTAACTGATGATTAGGAAATGTCTCTTCTCAATTTGGGCTCTTCTACATGCATGATTTCGAACAAGTCCCTTCCTCTCTCTGGGCCTATAAAATTAGGGGGTTGAACTTGATGATTTCGAAGGCCCCTTCTGGCCTCTAATGTCTCTAAGATTCATGAAGCGTGGGAGTCTAAAAGTCTGCTTGAACCCACAAGTGCTTCTGTCCCTGCCTTTGGTGTGACAGAGCCCAGGGCCTAGGAGCAGGGGTGGTTGGTGAGCTCACTTGGCTGTGTCTTGTCCTGGTTTCCACCCTGCCGGGAAGAAGGCTGATTCTCTGCTCTGTGCTCTTCGGGGGGAGGCTGGCAACCACAGAGGACCAGAGCGTGTGATGTCCAAGGCTGATGGCTGCACCCAGTTGTACCAGAGGAACTGACAATCTGCCGTTTTCCCATTCAACCTCAGAATCCTTTGGTGAACAGTCCATTATTTGCAAATGGAGTTTGAAATAGGAGGGTTCTTATGAAATATTTTGATCCTGCAACTCCCTTCCTTCCCTCAGAAGACTCCAAGGTGCCCATTGCTCTTCACCTCAAACAGCGCCCCCCACCCCCCCTACTTTGGGCTCTACCCACCCAGCCTGGTCTGGAGCTCTGAGCGCTTCTGATCGCTGGTGCTGACTCTGGCCACCAGGGGGCACTCCTGCAGTGTGAAAGCCAACAGTTCTCTCTGCATTGGTGGAGCCTAGGTCCCCTCTTTGCCTGAACATCTGGACTTGCTCAAGCCATTCTTAAGTGATTCTCAACCAGGGACGATTTCTTTCCCCCCCCCGCGGGGGGGGGGACATTTCACAAGGTCTAGAAGAGGAGGTTGGGGGAGGGTGCAACTGGTATCTAGAGACCCAGGATGCACTGAATATCCTGGAATACATAGGACAGCTCCTCACACAATAAAGAATTTTGTAGCCCAAAATGTCAATATTGCCGAGTTTGAGAAACTCTGCTGTGCTTGAATCTTTTGTCTAAAACACAGAGAGCCCAGCCTGGAAATTTATGTCATCTGGAGTGGAGCTTTTATTCTCCTGGGTTCACCAACTCCCAAAAAGATATTTTGGAAAAATGACCACAAAGCATTTTTCATTGCCTGAAAAGTCGGGGTCACAGCAACCACGAACCACTGAAGGGAGGAGGGGTCGGGTAGAGGGCATATAGGGGTCCAACGCCCCCCTGCATCCTCAGCCCCTTAAGAACTCTGCTCATTTGACACAACATTGTAAAATGACTATAACTCAATAAAAAAAAAGTTAAAAAAAAAGAAGAAGAGCTCTGCTCAGAGGTCCTAGGCAGAGATTGGAGGGTCATTCTGTAAAGACCCCTGCTCTGTTTTTTCCTCGAGGCTAGTTTCCCCCTGGCCCCAGGTGGCAACGCGGCAACTCCAGCTAGGGTTTCAGCCTTTCTCTCTGGGAGACACGGCAGCAGAAGGGAGGAGACTGGCTGGCTTGATTCCCACTGCTGCTCCAGGTGTCAGAGCCGCCTCCTCCCTACTCCCCACCTCCAACTCTTTCCATCAGGAATCCTGGGTGGCTTTTAGCTCCACATCAGATCAGAGGGCAGCAGGAATGCAGCAGGGCATGGTCAGCCAAGAGGGCAGTTTGCCAAGGGCATTGCAGTGGGGTGTTACAGAGCTGAGGAGGCCAGTCCCTCCTGACCCTGCTTGCCTTGGGTCTTGGGGAAAGGAGGGGACAGGAGCTCCCAGCGTCACAGAAATCAGAGGGGCCAGAGAGAGGTACATGGAAGGGCAGGAGAAAGTTGGGAGATCTTAGCCTGGATGAGAGACTTGAGGCCCAGAGAAGAAAGGAGTTGCCCTGAGACTCAGGGAACAAAACAACTCCTGACCCCTCCCCAGCTTAGATTCAATTTGCCCCCTTATGTGGGCAGGCATGGGGTCCTTCAGATGATGGAAACCTCATTCTCCTCTCCTTCAAAAAAAGTTGAGATGAATGTCTCCTTAATCTGATTGGCAGTTTGACGGGCAAGGGCACCCTGGCTCAGTTCTCACCATCCCCACAAATGCTCCTTGCCTGCAATGCCCCTCACCCCTTGGGTCCAACTCCACCCCTTCAAGTCCTCCTGCAATTTAAAGCTGTTTCCAGCCAGGGGAAGGTGCAAAGCCAAAAGAGAGGTAGACAAGAGGAGAGGTGGACTTCCGGGACCCCTGCTTGACATCTTCCTCCCCAGTTAAGGAGGATCCAAGGGCCACACTGCTTTGAAATTCTCCAGACTGGGGGACACAGGGCTTTCCTCTCCAGCTTTGGGGCCCTGCCTCTCTGAGGAGAAGCCCTCCCTGGGCTCCAGGTTCCCTTTTGCCCCCAGTGTGGGATCGGGCTTGACCTCCAGCCCCTCAGGCCTCAGGGACAAGAGCTGGAGCCTCTCCCCAGCCCCCTGTGCCAGCCCGGCCAACAGAGGAAGCGCCGGAAAATGTCCGGCCACTGAGGGGCACGGGGGTCCTGGGATCAAGGTGTCTGGTGTGGGGGACCCAGGGAAGTGTGGTTCCAGGGGGGAGAGGGGGCAGGAAGGGTCCTGAGAGTCGGAGCCAGTCAGATGGGACAGGAGGTGGCAGGGAAGGGGTGAAGGAGGCAAAACTGGGCAGCTCGTTTTGGGGGCTCCCCATATGGCAGCAAGGGCCAAGCCGGCAGGGGGCTGGAGCAGAGCCAAGTCCTGGAGAGAGAGAGAGAGAAAGAGAGAGAGAGAACGCAAGAAAGGGTCAGTGAGTGCCCACCCCTCCACATGCCCCCTGTCTCTTTCCATTTCCCATTTCTTTTTGCTCCTGCTTGAAACTTTCTCTCCCCATGTGCCTTCCTTTTCCCTTTGCCTCAGATCTCACTGTAAATGTCATTTCCCTGGGGAGCCTTACAAGCCTCCCCAGCCTGGGTGAGAGCCCCTAGGTACCCCTTCGTCCCTCCCAGTACCTCCCCTCCAGGGCCCGTCCTCAGCGAGAATCAGGAGTCCTTTGTGTGATTACTTCACGTCTGTGTCCCCAACACTGTGGGGCAGGCACTGAGGCTGTTATTTTTCTGGATACTGGGATCCAACCCAGCCTGGTGCATATTAAGTGCTCAATAAAAAAAGCATTGGGTGAAGGAAGGAAGATGCTCTTGGCCACAACTCAATGGATCTAGTCGTCACTCTCCTTGTTCCTGTAGCGAAGGGTTCTGGTTCTATCCTAGTTGGGTCAAAACTGGTTGTTTAAATTCTCAGGCCTTAATTTCTTCATCCAAAAAAATCCCCTCTCCTAGTTAAGATCAAGCCGCATCATCGGTAAAAAAGAGCCCACAGAGCTGTGAGGCCAGTGCGAGCAGGGGGAGCCCCAGCCTTCCCCTTCTCTGGTTGGCTCTGGCCTATAGCCCTCCTCCTCCAAGAAGCCCTCCCTCCTTCCATTCCTCCCAAATCTGCCCTCTTTCCCCAGGATCTTACAATAGGGCCCCTTAGTTTGGGGTCTCTGGGGATGATTATACAGACCTTCACACCACTTTCTCTATTTCAAAAACCTCATTCTAGTTTCACGTTTTTCTTAGCAAGGCCATGTATGAACCCAAAGTGATGACATCAGTGGGGCTGTAGTTAGTAAAAACTGGAAAAACAATTTAGTTGTTAATTAATGCATCCAGTTTATTTGGTAGGAACAATATTTCTGATGTCAGATCTATGAAAGGGGAAAATAATTAAAAAAATAATCCTTCATGAGAAAAAGTGTGGCCACCCTTGCCAGAGTGTCCCCTCTCGTGGGTCACTGTCCTTTTCCTTGGATCCTTAGATGAGGTGAAGGCTGCTGTTTTCCCCTAGGAAGGTTGTGTCCCTGGGGGCCCCGGAGGTCAGGACAGTGTCTCCTCTCACAGACCCACACCAAGTAAGCATGTGGAGAAGGTCGGTCTAAGAATTTTCCTGCTGCTGGTGGAGGCGGAGGGGAGGGTCTAGCTTGGTGGTAGATTACACGCTTAGCACGCGAGGTCCTGGATCCAATCCCAAGTATCTCCATTAAAATATATACGTAAATAAGAAACTAATTAACACCTCCTATCAAAAAAGAAAGAAAGAAAGAAAGATAAAGAGTCCTCCTGCCTCTCCCCGCCCCCGCCAGCTCCAGCGCTGAGGCTTCCTGACCCTGGGTTGGTAATCCTGGCTCCTCTTCTGCCCAGAGGCAGCTTCCTCTCTCAGAGCGGCGCCCTGAGTGAAGGCGAAGTGAGGGGCTGGCACGGCCTCCTGGAATCGCAGTCCAGAAGTGAGGCATGTGGCTGCTACTGGCCTTCTGGTGACCTAAACCTGCTCCGTGTGCCTCAGGGCCCGAGCACAGGCAGTGCAGGGCAGGGAGGCGCAAATAACTCTCTCCAAGCTGGGGCTCGCCAGGGAACACTTTTTTTTTCCCCCTCATAGTTTCCCAAAGGGAGAAGCTCTGTGCCCAAGGCATTCCCAGAGCTGGAAAGGGGTGGGTGAAGGTAGAGGAACAGGGAGGGCTGTCAGGTGCTGTCTTGCTCCAGGCTGCCAGAGCTGTGGCCTTGCGAGTCCCAGCAGGCCCTGGGCCGCCCCACGCCCACAGCCTCGGCTGCACTCACCAGGGCCCAGAGCCAGGCGCCCGGCATTCTCTGGGAGCTGGAACCTCTGGGCCCCCAGCTGCACTGGGGTGGGGCTAAGGCCAAGGCTCTTTATTTCATGACATTGCCTGGAGAAGAGGAATAGGTCTTGGGCCTCTGCTGAAGAGCCTTGGGTTCATCAAGTGTCTCTGTGATCTTTTTCACAGAAGATCTAATTTTGCCTCTTCCCAGCTTATAGCCCTGGAAGAACTAGTCTCTGCCTGCATTTCCACCTCTGTCACCATGTGCTGCTACACTGGCCTGCTCCTAGTTCCTTTCCTGCCCCAGGACCTTTGCACACCTTGTTCTCACTGCTTGCCAAGCTCTCCTCCTTCCCTCTGAACTAAGCTGACACCTATTTATGTTTTGGGTCTCAGTTCAAATATCACTTTGTCCAGGAATTCTTCCCAGATGCTATCTGCACCCTGAACTTCTCTGTATCAGTTAGCACAGTTACAAGTACTTGTCTATTTGTTGAATCAATAACTGAAGTCCGCAAACTCCTCTTGCCTACAAGCTCTATCAAGGCACCCCCGGCCCTAGGACAGGGTCTGGCACATTCAGTGGGAGCCTATGAACTATCTGTTGAAAGAAGAAATGAGTGAACAAGGGAGTGAATGAATGAACTTTATCTTCCCAATCTCTCTTCAGTTGGGTGTCTTTCTTACCCATGGCCCTTGCCTTTGTTCTGGCCCCATTGTCCGCTACCTAGATTATCTTCAAAAGCCTCCCAACACCAGCTCTGCACCTCCTCCACCCCAAACTCTGCATACAACCCGAGTCATCTTTGTAAAATGAACATCTAGACCTGCCTCTCCCTCCATGGTCCCTCCTGCCCAGAGGATGAAGTCCACCCCACTCAGTGTGGCTCCCGGGGCCCTCCGTGACCAGATGCCTGCTTGCCTGGCCAGCCTTGTCTCTCGCCCACATCCTTGTCCCTGCTGCCATCACATACCTTACGCTGATTGTGCAAGCTGCCAGCAGATCTGCAGATTTACCACTCACTCACAGCCTTTTCTTTTACAAATGCTGTTCCCTCTGCCCAGCATCTTTCTCCACCTTCTTCACCTGCTCAGTTGTAGCCTCTCCGGGAAGCCCCAGCTTTGCTGCATTTCCCTGACACCTTGTGCTTCCCTGAGTCTCAGCACCAGTCATTCACTGGTCATCCTCCCATCTCTGCTCTGCACTGGTCTCTGAGCATCTTGAGGGCCATCTTTCATCTCTGAACCCTCACACCTAGTAAATTGCTGGTGTGCAACAAATGTTTGTTGAATGAATACACGACATATCATCCCTTGACTGAGCCATGTGCTCAATCAAGAGGGTCCTCCCCTCCTTTGCTTAAGATTCCCTGGTCCCAGGCACTCACGGTGTATACTGCTGCTGTTCCCCTTCTTGTCCCCAGAGGCCTCTGGTGGCCCTTGAGGGGTCCGCTGTCCAGCCAGCTGCTCTGCCATGGCGCGATGGGTGAACAGCATGCTGTGCAGGAGCTGGGGGGTGAGGAGAAGCAGGTGAGGGGGTGGAACGAGCCCTCCCTGACATGTGTGAGTACACATTGTTTTAATGACCCGTCCTTCAAACAATGAAATACTCTCATAATGATTGTTAAATCACCACTGCGCATATGTCCTTGACCCTCCCCTGAGACCCGCACCCCATCCCTGTCATCTGACACTAAAGGAGTCATGCCTGGCCCGGAAGAAGTTGCCCTCTGTCATAGACAGGTGCTGTACCATATGGATTGTTAAACATGTAGGGGTGATTTAGAGTGTCAGCCGGCCCCTGGGGCACTCAGGGACTAGGTTGCGGGGGAAGAAGAACATTGAAAGCTGATGGGTCCCCGAGGCAGAGAAGAGGGCTGGGGGCTTCCTGGACAGAGGCCCAGGCCTAGTGGAGTCCTGGGGCCAGGGGCTGCCTTCACACCTACCTCACTGTGCACACCCATGGGCACCAGTGCTGGTCGAAACACAGCAGGCGCCCCCAGCAGCAGGTGGGGTGATGGTGGTGCTCGCACCTCCCACAGAGGGTAGTTGACTACGATGAGCTTGCTGAAGTTGAATTTGTATGTGAATCGTTTGCCTTTGGTCTTGTGCAGGATCCTCTTATTGTAGTAATATCTGGAGATTCCAAGGTTAGGAACAGAGGGTTGGCCCAGCGGCAGGGAACACAGTCACTCAGCCACAGTCCCCCTCCCCTGGCCAGTAAGGTTAACCCCGAGCGGTTCCCGGATGACCACGAGACACCTGACCACACTCCGGAGCATTTCGTAAGCCTTGGAAGGGCAGGAATCCTACAGGGGTGCCAGAAACCACAGCTCTATTCTTTGAACTCTGCCTTCTCTGGCCATGTTGGCTGCCTCCTCTCACCTGAGGGCCCGGCTCAGCTTGTCATAATTCATCTGTGGTTTGCATTTCCTGCGGCCCCAGAGGCGGGCCACCTCATCTGGATCCTTGATGACAAATTCCCCGTACTCTCCCTGCTGCCAGGCGATGACATGGCGGAACTCCTCCTTCTGCAGCAGCTCCAGGATGAAGTGCCACAGCTGGATCTGCCGGGAGCCCGGGGACGACTCGGCTTTGTAGGCCCAGTCAGGGAAGGCCAGGCCTGGGGCAGAGAGGGGAGTGAGAGCCGCACTACGGGGTGCCGCTGGAGCGTGGAGGGGACACTGGCAGAGGCTCACCTGAGATCCAGGAGTTGCTGGCAACGGCAGGGATGCCCTCGGCCAAGCAGCTGCAGTGCATGGTCCACGCCGGGGGCGCTAGGGCTGTGTCTGGGCCTTGGGAGGAAATGTCACCTCTTAGGAGGGCAGGGGAGAAGGAGGTGAAAGAGGAAGGAAAGAGAGAAGAAGGAAGAGCCTAGGGGAGGAAAGGGACACTGAGTCAGGGAAGTGGAGTCTGAGGCAGGAAGCTCCCCCTGGCCAGGCCCTGCCCAGCCTCCTCTGGGGACCTCCTCATTGGCCAGGGGCTGACCCAGGACCTGGGGCTTGGGGCTGAGCAGCTTATATAGATGGGTAGGTATGCAAAGGTCCTAGGTCCTGCCCCCGCTGGGGGATTTAGACAGAGAATGAGATCTCTTCTCAGGGCTTAACAGGATTGGGGTTTTTCCCAAGAGAAGACAAGAGAAAATGTAATTAATCGGTGGCTCTTTCTAAACCTTGAGTGGGAGGAAGAGGCAGTTACACAAACCCATACCTTTATAGAACTTAGACTGATTTTACATTTGAGAGGAGCAGGGATTTTTGTCTGTTTTTTCACCGAGGAGTCTCCAGGGCCTTGCAGAGTGCTGGCCATATCTCGGGTGTCTAAGAAATGATTGTTTGAATCAATGAATGGTAATGAATTTATCAAGGGTGTCACTATGTGTTTAATATCTGTCACCCCCTCAGAGGGTCAGCTCCCTGTGGTCAGGAGCCCTGGCTGTCTTAGTCATTGCTGGCTCCTCAGGTCCCATCCGAGCACAGGGTCTTGTACTCACAGGTGCTCTGAAAATATCTGTTGAATGAATGAACCATGGGCAAGGAGGACGGAATCTTGCTGGTTCCCAGTTTGACGAGGGAGGCGTAGGGGTGGGCAGTGAGATGGGGAGAAGAGCAGGCAACGAGCGCCAAGAAGATAAACTTGCCTGACGCAGGCAGGGGCAGGGGAGGAAACGTCTAACTCCCAAAGCCTTCCAGGTGGAACTGAGGCCGGTGACAAGGGCTGGCTTCCACCGTCACTAGTGGAAGATGAAGCGATAGGAGGGAGGACGACGGAGGAGTGATGGGAGACGCGTGGGGCCTGCTCCTGGGGTTGGGCCAGGGCGCGGGGGCATCACCGGGGCGGTTAGGTCTACATGTAAACAGGGGACCAGCTCCACCACCGGGCTCTGAGTCTCCATCACTGAGGTAGTTGGTGGGAGGCGAGGGCTGTTCTCACCCAGAACTCATTAGGTGCCAGGTCTGGAGGCGTGTGAGGGCTTATCTGGAGGCGCCTCCTCACTTTCCAGATGCGGCTCAGAGAGGGAAAGTGACTTGGCACTCGATGTATCTGCCCCACTCCCCACTCCTAATCGAGCACTTTCTCGCATACCTTGCTGCCTTAGGACTTAAAACAAGTCATCTACAGCAGCGCTTCTCAAACTCTAACGTGCATAAGAATCACCTGAGGGTCTCTTTAAAATGCAGACTCTAAGGCAGGGGGACTTGGTGGAACCTGGGATTCTGCATTTCTAACAAGCTCCTAGGTGATGCCAATGCTGCTGGTCCGGGGATTGTACTTTGAGTGGGAAGAACCCCTGGGAAACAGCAGAAAGGAGCTGTGAGGGTTAGAAAGTCAAAGCATCCTGTCCCTGCCTGTCCCCCCCCACACCAAGAGGTCACTGGGTCTCTTTCTCTCCTTCTTTCAGGGAACATTCAGTTCCAGGCCGACAAACTGACAGCCTGCCATGGGCAGGTGTGCCTGGAGGTACCCGTGTCTGACCTGAGCAGAGAGCATCTCTGGAAATTAAGGCAGATGGGGCTGTGAGCAGGTCCGTGCCCACTCTGAATCTGGATGAATAGGTCTTCCCACCCACCGCCTGTCTCTAAACTGATAGCTGATATTCTGGAACCTTCTCCCCTGCCTTTTCTCCCCTGAAGCAGATGCCCCTACTCCCCTCCCATCCTCCTTTCCTGCTCCTTCCGTTGGGAAGTTCCTCTTTTGTCTAATCTCAAACTGATTGGGATCTCTTCCCCCTCATTTCATGAAAATGGGCTGGGAAGTAGAGGGTGCAGAGGTGAGATTTCAAAGGAGGACTGTTTTTTTGGTGGAAGCTGATAGAATTCCTAGGGCTGAGGTGCCTGCTGGATCTGGTGATGTTTCCTGGTCTTGGGGTTTGAGACCTCAGGGTAGATTTAGGATCTAGCAAGAAGAGAACAATAAACCTACTGTGGAGCAGACACTCAGGGCACCCTACTCTCTGCTGAGGGATTGACACACCCTGAACCTCACAGGAAGTATCAGACGAGATGGAGCTCAGAGGGGTTGAGTAACTTCTCTAAGGTCACACAGCTCTTAAGTGAAAGCAAGACCTTAATTCAAGATTTATAATATTGAGCCACCTAGGTCAGCTACTAACACCCTCCCTCTGACCATCAAAAGAAAAAAAAACAAAAATACAAAACCAAAGTGGGTCAAGTTTCAGGTTTCCTGAATGCCACAGCCTCCTCCCTAACCTCTCCCATGTTTGTGAGAGTCCTTCCTGCATCCTCAAGTCTCTGAGGAGCTTGCCAGTTCTAAATGTGGAAATCCTCACTGCTGGTAAGTCCTGCCTAATGTCTGCCCTCAAGTCCATCCTTTTCTGCTGGAGCCCCACAGCTGGCTGTGGGGAACCCTCAGAGAGAAGCAGGCTTCAGTTCTACCTTCATGTCCAAGAACTGCTCTTGGTGTTTCACCGTAATTCCTTGTGCTTCATTGTAACCCACATGCTGGTGGAGACGCTCCCAAGGCTGGGGGAGGTGGCCCCAATCTGTCGCACTCCCGCCATCTCCTACCCCCCCAACACCCCCCGCTTGTGCTGTGGGCGGCTCTCACAGGCTCTGCACAGCCCCTCTGGCCCCCACTGCAGGATTGGTGCAGTGGCCGAAGAGGACAATTATTGAGAACCATAAATCACATAGGATCATAACCCAATCTTGAATGATCAGAAAGCCTGCTCTTAAGCACTTGTGTTTCTTGAAGGGTTATAGCAGCGAGCAATTATTATTGTCATCAGTACCATCATTCTGATTACTAATAATATGATTAATCCCTTTGGCCAACACAAGCGCTCATTACAACACATGTAGGTTTTAGGTCATTATTTTAAAAAAGCAATAGAGATAATGATGATAAAGTAGAGAGTAAGTCTTAAGCTAGGGCTTGGAGCCAAAGGAAATGTCCAAGCGGATTTTACCTTTTAAAGAGTTTCTTTAAGAAGAGTTGGGCCCCTATCATGCACCCAGCATTGTGCTTGACATTTATTTTTCCTTATGTTGCCTCACTGAATCTTCACAATAATGCTTCGTGGTGGTGGGTATCATTATCTCCATTTTGCAAGCTGAGGAAATTGAGGTTCAAAAGATTAGGAGACTTGCATAAGATCCCAGGGCAAGTGGTGGAGCCAGATGGAAACAGGTCTGTCTGACTCTGGGCCCTGAGCTGTAATCAGTCAATCAGGGCAGAAAAGTTGAGGATGAAACTTGGAAGCAGAGGTGAGGCTGGCAGGAGGCCCTGGGTCCTGAAGGAGGTGCTCCAGTCTAAACCTAAGAGGTGGGCTCTTGGCCAAAAAAATGACAAGGATGGAGAGGGTGTGGGAAGACAGGAAGCCAGAGGACAGTCAGATGGACAGAGTGGAATACAGAGAGGATCCAAAAGACAGGAACACGCTCAGGAAAAAAAGGAATCAGAGTTCAAGACCAAGACTGCATCTATGCAAAGTAGGAACTTGCATCAAAAGTCACTTTTGTTGTTTGTCCTTCTAAGCGGCTCAAGTGGCTTGCTCTCGTAATCTGATTGATTGGATACTACCACGTCTTCTCAGTGACTGCTTGATTGATGCAGTGGGAAAACAGGACTGTTTACAAATACAAAGGCAGCTGAAAGGGAGGGCAAGAGAGTCATCGAGGAAGAGAATGAATCAGAGAACATGAGAGAGAGAAATGGCCTCTTGGAAATCAGGTGCTGTGGACACAGGTGAGGTCCAGATACGGCCTGGCCCTGGAGACTGAAAGACCGGAGTGGAGAAGTCAGCTCAGAGGGGAACACAGAGATGGTGGTCTCTGGCGGGGGTGGGGGGGTATTTTCTGATTGTTAGCTTTGAGTAAACTGTGCATCCCCTACGCCTCCGCCAAATCCCCAATCTGATTAGAAGCCTCTGGTCTCTCCCCTTGATCTCAGCCCCAAGTGGAGAGTGGTTAGTCCTGAGACCTCCCTAATGCTATTAGCCAAAGCGGCTTAGGTGGGAGAGCAAGAGCGGCAGGGGCCTGGGAAGGGCAAAGCCAACGCCTTTCTCCTGGGGGAACTTGGGGGAGGGGCAGGGATAGATGTCCTTCTTCATTGAGACACCAAGGGCATCTTGTCCCTCCTTCTGCCAAACCCAGAGAACCCAGGGCAGAGAGGACCACTTCTTGAAGCTCCCTGGCTGGGAAGCTGGCCAGCTGATCCCCATCTTTCGGTCCTGCAGCCCCAGCTCTTCCTGCCATCAGTCCACACCTGGGAGAGGCTCCTCCCTCCCTGCCGCTGCCCCAGCAGGGTCCACCCTCCTTCCTCCTGCCCAGCCCCCTCTCAACCTGCTCCCATTGCTAGGTCCTCCCACTGGGTGTCAGATCTTTACCATCCTCCCCTACCCCACCCCAGACTCTTGCAGACATGCCTCTGACTCTTGTCTCTGCGTACCTGGGGGCTGTGGGATTTAAAAGGTTTGTGTAACTCCGTGGAGTAGGAATCCAAACCCAGACACCCCCGTGCTCCACCCCCAGACCTGTCAGGAAGGGCAGCTGAAAGTCACGGGGAAAATCACAGATCCCTGGGGGACCCAGGGGCTGGAGGATGGGAATTGGGGTGTCAGGAGACCAGCTTCCAGCCCATATCCACCCCTCCCTTGGTCTTGCTTCTCCAAGTCTCTGTTTCACTTTGTTTGGCCTTTAATCTTCAGCTCGTTTCCCGTTCGTTGCAGTTTCTCCCCTTTCCCCTCTCAAGTCTCATTCTTCCTCCTTCTTTCCACTTCCTGCCCATCAGCCTTCTCTCTCTTACTTCCCCAGCTCCATCCACTTTCATTTCCCCCGGTTGTCCACCCTTTTCTGTTTCAGTTTTTCTCAGTCTCTCCAACTCTGGCTTTACAACTTGTGTCTGCGACTCATGGGGTCTGTCTGTCCTGCCTCCCCCAGGCCGGGTCACCTCTCACGCGGCCTGTCCTCTGTTGCACTGATTCTTTTACTGTCCCTCCTTGTCACTTTCTGTTCCTTATCTCTTTCTGTCTTTCTCCTGCCCGCCTGTCTCTCATCCACGCTTCAGAGCTGGAAACTGAACCCAGGCCCCCCAGCTTCCCAGCCCTGGCTCTTAAAGCCCCCCTTCCCCTTTTCCCACCTTCTCCCTCCTCCCCTTCCCCCCTCCCCCAGGGCCCCTTGCCCTCTCCCCCAGGGGCACTCTCAGGGTTGGTTCCTTTCATCTCATTCCCATCAGCTGGGCCCCAGGGGATGCCCCTGCCTGGACACCCCCGGTGTGCCCCCAACCCAGGGGACAAGAAATCCCCTCAGGTAGGCGCTGAGGAGCCAGGCCAGCCGGAGGAAGTGAAAGCTCTCGGCCAAATGCTGAGCTGGGATGAGCTGGCAGGCCTGCATGGGGCTGAGTAACAGATACCAGGAATGCAGCGGGTAGCAGGCCTCCGGGGTATTCTCACCCACTGGGGGCCTCTGGTGCCTCCTGACTTAGTCCCCAGCCCTCAGTGCCGTGTCCACTTCCAGCCTCCACCTCAACCCTTGTGCTCATCCCTAATCTTGACGTGAACCCTGACTTCAACTTCCACTAAGCCCCAGTCCCAACCTGCGACTCCATCCATGTGCCCTGGTCCTTTGAGCAGAGCCAGAAAGGGGGTGGGGGTGACGTGGCAGCGGCACCACTCTCTTCCCAGTCCTTCTCCTCCTGTGCACTGGGAAGGGGTTGGGGAGAGGAGCAGGACTTCTCTGTCATAGGAGCATCACCTTGTGTGCCTCTCCAGCCTCACATAGCCCATGTCGGCCCCCAGCGTCACACAGCTGCTCCTGATAAGGGACAACCAATCTCTCAGATTCCAGGCTTCTTGGACCTAATTCTCTGGGAAGAAGCCAGGAGTCTGAGGAAGCGAGGGAAGCAGGTGGGCGGGGCAGAATCCCCTTACCCCATCAGAGATGTCACTTCATCCCAGCGTGACTCAGATGGGAGCACAACCTGAACTCTGCCTTCCCTGGGACCACCCCTTGCTCTTTCTCATGCCCACGCTGTGATGCCCACACTGTCAGCGTCAGTCCTCACCCACTGCCCTTCAGTCTTGGCTACACGGATGGCAGCAGTGAGCTCACTGAGATGCAGAACTCCTGGCAGGTACAGACCACAGTGTGTAGGGTTAGCTGAGACCACCATTCATTCAGTCCCTGGAGCCCGACTCGACCCGGTATGTCCCAGGAGTCTTGTCTGCCCCAGTGAGCCAACATCTGACCCCAGCTGTGCCCCATCTGGGAGAAGAGCCTACTGCCACATCAGACCTGCTGTCTTTACGAGGTTTCCCTCACCTGGATGGAAGAGCCCAGCCACCGCGCAGAGGGCTTCAGGTGTGGCCCTTGGACTCGCATCTTCACCTGGTGCCTGTGCCTCCTTTCTTCTTCCCTTCCCAGTTGCCCCATAACTGGCTCCACAGCTGAGGTGGGGGCAGGGGTGGAGAAGGGCCGTCCCCTTGTCCAGCACCGGCCGCAAACCTGCCACCAGAGCCCCTTACCTCCGCGCGGCAGCCGGTCCGGGCTCTGTCCAGCGGCTCCTTCTGGCGCGCTCCTCGCCAGGCGACCCCTCGCTCATCACACGCTGAGTTAGGGTTACTTAAAATGGGAGCGGGATCTCCAAGCTCCCAGGGGAGGCGATGTGGTTTTCAGACAATAGCATTAACCCTTTGGGGGCCGGTGGCACCACGGACCTGTGCCCCCTCCACCTCTGTGGGGGCTGGTGAGGGAGTGTCTGTCACTGGGTCCTTTGCATCCAGAGCCTACCCTTGGGGCAGATGGCTCCTAACACATCTGGCCAACAGGGAGACCCGTGAGAGGGCTACCGCTGCTTCAGTTTTAGGGAAAGAGATGCTGAACTGCCAGGAAGTCCTTCCAGCTGTCTACCCTTCCCACTGTGAGTCAGCCCTTCCCTCATGGAACATCCTGTGCAGATAGAATGTGGGCCTGGAAAAGAATCCCACCTTCACAATCTCCAACTCTTAACACACCTCACTTGCTCCCTGTCTTTTCCTCTGAGTCCCAGGCCCCACCTCTGCTCACATACAGGTGTTGAACCCTCACAATTTGTAACTTTCCTCTTAGTCTCAAGTACCAAACTAATATTAATCATTTACCCAATCACCTTTTCTCTAAGGTTTTTAAAGCACTTCTTATCATGTCTCTTTCCTCTTAGGGTTCTAGAAAATAGAATTTTCTTTTTCTTTATAAACATAACTCAAAGTTAGACAGCAAGAAGAACTTACAACTAACATAAACCAGACAGGAGACAGTGACTGCAGGGGCATCAGATACCCTGCTAAAGAAACAGCAGGAACAAGATAAAGCGACAGGATTCCAGAACACACTGGGGAGGACATGGAGGGTTCAGGTAACTGACCTCAGGGGAAACTAGAGAAGGGTGGATGTCAAAGACCAAAGCCTCTGTTTTTAAAGTCCTGGGGAAGAAGGGAGCCTGGAGCCTGTCGGGTCTGCGTCCAGTCTCCCCAATCCCTAGCGGGGAGGAAAAGATTGATGGCTGTCATTGGGGAATCAATATGATTTTCTTTTTTTTTTTTCCCCTCTCTGACTCTGGGAGGCCAAGTTTCCTCTCTCCCCCCATCTCCCCCATCATTACACAGCCCCTCCCGGCCCTGAGCTGATCGAGATGGGAATGGAGGGCCATGGAATTAAATTCTGGGGGTTGTTTTCTGGTTAAATCAACCGAAGCTAACATGATGGAAAGGTGAGAGAGACAGGCTGACTGATGGAAGAGACAGGCTAGGGGCCACAGAGAGAGAGTCCTTGTTGCGGGGGAGGCAGGAAGACAGGGCTCTGAGCCCAGTGAGGGCGGAGAGGAAGGAGGCTACAAAGGGAGGGATGGTCCAGAACACTGTTCCCAGGAGTTGGATGCAGGGAGAAGGGAGGAATGTTAGCCACATTCAGGCAAACTTGATCTCCATAGAGGACAGAGAGCTACACGCAGGAAGACTGAAGTCAGCGCCAGGACATGTTACCCCAGGTATTTCTCTTAGGTGTCACTGGTGTCACTGTGTTTTCTCACCTGAGGAGCTGGCCCTGCCCCACGCTCACCTTCACCGCATCCTATCTCCCTCATTTAACTCAGGACCATTTGAGTTCAGAGCAGGAAGGCCAAGGAGACGATTGCAGGGAGGAGGAACCTTCCCCCCGCCCTCCCCCACGAGGGCCCCATTCGAAGAGCAGGTTGTACGTAGCAGGATCTGAAGCTGGAGCACTGGGACCAGCTCCATGGGCCTAGACTCCATGGGTCCCTCAGCCCACCAGCTGCCTCCACGGGCTCTCCTAGGAGGGCAACCTGTGACGGGCCTCCAGGAAAGAAGGCTCATGGCCCTTCTGCTTTCCCACTTCCTGCCACCGTCCCAGCTCCCAGGAAAGTCCCTCACATTGCTAACTTCAAGCCCTTGCGAGAACCAGAGCAGCTGCTTCTGAGATGATTAGGGTTTCACCTCTTCTGCTGCTCCACACGCTCTCCTTACCCACTTCCTCTCATATTCCCGTAAACCTGATCAAAGCGGCACCCCATGGTCCCCTTCTGTCCAATTCACATTTTGGTTGTGGGCCTTTGCAGAGGAGGCTGGGTGTAGGATTAGGAAGCTGGGCACTTGGCACAGACATTGGCTCCTGGAGTGGGACACTGGGCCTCTGTTTCTTCTCCAAGACACAGGCAAATGGCCTAGTGCCCTTTGGAGAGGGGGTCCTCTGACCAAATCCAGCCCATTCCTTTGCTCTTTGGAGCATCTCTGAGAGCATCCAGTGCCTGGCACAGTGCCTGCACGTGGGGGCTGCTCTACCAAGGATTGCCAAGTGAGTAAACCAAAAGTTCCCTCAACCAGCTCCCCACACTCTAGACAATCCAACTACTGTGACTTGCAACAGGGAGCTGCAACACATTTCAAACTGCTTCAGCCCCCCAACTTTGTATCTAGTAAGTGCACCTGGCCTGATCCAGCCTCCTAAATAATGCTGACACAGATGGGGTCAAGTGAGGTGGGGTGGAGACCCCATCCCTGCCTGGAGACAGGAGTCAGCAGGAGGCAGCCCTTCCCACTGTGGGGCTTAGAGCTGGCTCTGGGTGTCTCCAGGGTCCACTTGGAGGAGTCTCAGGGCTGAGTGGGGCCCGGGGCGGGGCTGGGAGGAGCCCCTCTCCTCAGCTCCCCTGCCAGCCCCCTGAGTCTGTGCCCGTAGAGTGCTATCACGGCAGCAGAGCAAAGGATGCTCTCTTTGAGCCTCAAGTAGACGCTTCCTCTTCTAGTTAGTGACTTTTTTTCATACTTGAGTAACCAGCACGATAGGCTAAATTCCCAGCGCATGGACACTGCCTGACATACTTTGTATCAAGACCTCACCACCCTGAATGGGTCCTCTCAGGTCTCTCCTGTGCCTCTGTCACCATCTGACGTTAACATGGTCTGGACGGAGACGTAGGGATGGGGTCAGACCCTGGGAAGGCGCTGCAGAGGATGCAGGGATTGCTGGGTGGGGTGGAGGTGAGGAGGTGGTTCATCCCCTCCCGAGGAGCAGGAAGAAGGAAAAGAAGGCTCCTCTTCCCTCCTCTCTCCTTGCTCTTCGGCCAGCATCCGGCCTGGGGGCGTGACGGCCCTGGAGTGCAGGTGGGGGACTTGGCTGATTCCAGGAGGCTCTGTCTGGCCAGACCAGGTGTGAGAACATCCCTTGATAAGCACCCCTTGGCAGCTGTTGGTGAAAGAGGGGTCGTTCCCACTGGCCCATTCTCTTGAATCCACATCTACTCCCCAAGACTGGGTGGGGCCCAATGCACCCCCATTGGGGGAGTGGTGGTGACTGAGGCTTGACTCAGAGAAAGAAGAAAGAAAGAGAGGGGAGGGGAAAGGGGCACTGAATAGAAGGGTAAGGTCCCCAGGTGGCTGTAAAGAAAAGGGAAAGGAAAGGAGGTGCCGGGTAAGCTTCTGGACTCAGACTCAGGGAGACAAAGAAGAGGCAGAAGGAGAGGAAGAGGAGGAGTTGAGGTGGAAGGAAGGGGAGAGGCTGGGGATGCAGGAGGAGGAGAGGCTGAGGCAGCCCGGGATGCAGCTTTGGGTTGGGGGGGGGAGCCGCGGGTGAGCGTGTGCAGCCGGGGGCTGTGGTGGCGGTGGCGACTCTTCATGTCCCATTAGTGGCAATGGAAGGTGACATGTGGGGATCGATACCAATCGAGGCAACAGACTCCCAGTAATAAACCCATTTCACTCACACTTCTCCACCCCCGCTGCCCGACCCCAAGAGGGGGAGCCAGGGCTTCCCACGCCCGACCCCCTCTCCAGAGAGGCTGCTTGTGGAACTGTCCCCAGCCCTGGCACCGGGTAGGAGGGGGCCCAAGCAGGGGGTGTCTTCAGTGGGGTGGGATGTGTGTTCTCTGGTTCTGTGAGGCTCAGGCCCGGGGTCCACTGAGACCTTCAGGCTGGGCCCACCTTCTCCTCTGGGGGTGAGGAGGAGCTGGGCCCACCTCCCAAACCCTGTGGGCATTTCCAAGGTGGAACAGGGAAAGGCTCTGGAATTTGCTGATAGGCTCAGCCCGTGGGCGCAGGTGAAGGTGGCTTTGTGCTCCTGGGTCTCCTTTGTGCCTCTGTGTGGGTGTCTGAATGTGTCTGTGTGTCTCTGAGGAGTCGTAAAATGAGTGTGTGTCTCTGCGGATGTCAGTCTCTATGACCGTGTGTTTTTGTGCGTGGGTGTTCATCAGTTTTTGTGTTTCCCCTGTGTGTCGTCTGCGTACTGTGTGTGTGTTTCTGTGTCCACACACACCTGCCTCTGGGAACGTGGGTGTGTGAGGCTGGGTTTGTCTCTGCGTGAATCTGAGTGTGCGTGTCTGTGTTTCTGTGGGTGTCTGCTTCTGGGTGTGTGTTTTTGTTTTGGAGACTGGGGATGTCTGTGTGTGTGTGTGTACCTGTGTGTGTTTATGTGTGTGGTTGTTTCTGTGTCTGTCTTTGTGTACATATGGGAAAATGTTGGTGGCCTCTTAGTATCTGCATCCAAATCCTGCTCCCATCTGTCTTCTTGAGCTGGGCCACATCCAGTATCCTACCTTCCAGGTAGGGAGCCCCATGTCCCTGGGACAGAGAGGTCTCCCCAAACATGGGACTTCCAGTTCTAAAACTAGAAGAGCCTCAGACAAACCAGGGCAGGTGGTCACGCATCTTCCAAGCCTGAACACAACGAGACCAAAGTGAATGGCAGTGCAGGTATCCGGGAAGGAAGGATGAGAGAAAGTCAAGGCGTTTGAATGGAAGGGGGACCAGAGGGGAAAAAAGACTGTGGAAGCAGTAGGAGGCATGCTGGTTAGACTCAAGGAGGAACTTCCCCAGAGCACAGAGCTGTAACTCTGGGAACTAAGACAGGAGGGGAAAAAGGATTGGCTGTCTTCTGCTCTGGGAAGCTCTGGTGAAGAGTTGTGTTGGGCTCTGTGGAGGAACTTGGCAGAATCAAGGTGCCTGTCAGCTCATGTAGGATGAGCTTGTCCCGTAGGATGTAGCCAGATGGGCCCTGTCGGGGCTCCCACCTTCCTGCACAGCACCACTGCTTCCTCCGGCTCCTCCCTGGGTGGGG